AGAGAGAGAGAGAGAGAGAGAGAGAGAGAGAGAGATGTCCACATCCCATAGCCTCCCCTATGCTTGTAGAAAACGCGGAAGGGAGACTTGTTCACCAATCATAATAATATGTGCATAAGTCTATGTGACGCACATAGATCTAATCGTATATCTACACGCTTATTATACACCCTCCTAGGCCTAGGCTACTTCTGTCACAGCGACAGCGCGACGTATTCGCGCTACACAGCAAAGCAAGGAGACACCTGTGTCTGAATATATAATATGCAAATTGTAGAAGTAACACGGTATTACCAACGACAAGGAACAATGTTGTAGCAACGATATTATAGTGTAGACCCTGCGATTGTGGCACGTTCGTGATTGATCGCATTATTATGTGCTGGGTCTGAAATTTGTTTGGCCGTTAGAGTTAAGCGTAAACGTAAAAATAACCTTTTTCGTAAATTTTGTGGGGAACGCTCCTCGTTTTTAAGAGTAGGCCTGTAAATATTACGGTTTTTAATTTTCCATGAAACGAAGTTTGTAACCCACTGTAAAGTAACGAGGCAACGATGATGCTGTTTTAATCTAAGGGTCAAGTATTGGGCCGCATTAATTCATTAAACATCTTGCTCTGTAACGCAGTAGTTTGAAATCCTGTCACCGTCAGTAGTTTAAGTAAGTTGTAATGCTCAATCAATGACCTTAGATCTGACATATAAAGGTTTGGGCAAGTAAAAGCCGAACAAGTTTCTACACCGCTTTCCAATAGGATGCCTCCGATTATTTATATTATAAGCCTGCTGAGGCCGAGGCTTCAATATTAGATTCTATTTATAAATTATACATATGTGGCTTGCAGAAAGTAAAAGTTACTTCTGTGACAATTTTCAAATTAGTCAAATTTCAGTTAGCCTAGTATTGAATGAGAAATTATGTTTAGGATTAGCAGGCCTATCGAGAGGCTGATAAGTCCTACTTTTTCCACAGTTATTGTTGTCAAGTCCAAGTTACTTTAAATATATATGATCTTGGAGAAGTAACTTTAATTAATGCAACATAATGATGATACTTGAAGGCCTACTTTTTAGGCTACAAGTTTCACTCTTTAACTTACTCTTTCTCTTCTACAACTCTTACCTAAGTTGAAGAAATGCAGTTAAAAGTTTAAAAAGTATTATTTTCATAGAGTGCAA